TCTATCATATTCACGGATTAAATTTTGTATTTACTTCTTAGTAAAGAAGTTTATCCATTTTATAAAATACAAACGTTTGATGACTTTAGATTTTATGCACCATAGTAACAATACTAGGACTTTTAAACGGTGGAGTAAATCCATCCCGGCTGCCACGTAATAATAGGTTAAATTTGAATGATAATTTTTTTTTATTATTTTGTTCTTTATCCATTGGATTATTTTATTAATTTGGTCACGAGAAAGAATTGTTGATATTGAACTGTGTGAATCACGGATGGGGTGAAGTGATGCTTGTTGTTTCTCACTTCCAGGTATCAAGTAATGATCCAATAGATCTTTATTAATACAACGACCTTTTATGTTATCTATTTCATAACAAATTTTGTGAAATTTCGGACGCAAATTATTATTTTGCAAGCTTTGAAATTTCGTTCGTGAGCTTTGAACGAGAAATTGGCCACAATGCCAAGCTTTAACACAATAAGTACTAATAACAAAAACTCTTTGTTTGATTCTATTATAATTAATCTCATAAAGTTTTACGCGTTAACTCACAAGATATCGCGTGAAACGTAAAATGCTTTGAGGCGAATTTGCAAATACATATAAGTTCAAAAACGTTTTACGTTTTAAGCAATATCTTCTGTGTTAACGCACAGGAATTTGAGAATATTTAAAATCGAACCATACGAAAATTTTATTATCAGTATTTGTCGTATTAAACTTAGCATTCAGGCCAATTTCTCGTTCAATTCACGAATGAAATTTCGTTTACCGTTCAAAGCTTGTAAACTAATTATTTGTGCTGAATCTCACAAAATTTTGTCATATGATAGAATTAGTGCTCCAACCGGGGTCGGGTCCAATCCGTGACACGACTCGGAACGCACATTTCGGGTCGGATCGGATTAGGGTCAAACCCGACCCGAAATATTTCGGGTCAGCCTAAAAAACGTTATTTCTCGTTCAATATTAATTGGAATTAAACAAAAATTTGTGGGTATATACACAATTACATTCCGAACAACTCTACTTAGACACAAAATAAAGTGTCTTAGTAAAAATAAAAGTTATTAACGAAAAACCATTTTACGATTTTCGGATCAAACCCGATTCGAATCAGACCCGACCCGAACAGAGCTTTAGATAGAATTCAATATGACAAACAAGTTTAATTATCCCTTAAATCGTCCAGCGGGCAAATTTGCCCATTAAAATTTTTTTCAGCTTATTTTTGTACATCTACTCCCCTTTTTCTAAGCTAAAATAAAAATTTAGCATATTTTTAATCAATATAATATAAAATTTGTAATTTTGATTTATAATTGCTCAAAATATTTGATTTATTTTTTAATCAATTCTGTAATTTTATTATAAAATATTTTTAAAATTTAAGATTAATAATAAAAATTTTTTAAACTTGCTCATTTTTAACTTATAGACAACTATAATTTTTTATGATATTAAAAAAGTGAAAATAACTATTATATAATGTATAATTAAAGCTAAGATTAAACAAACTTTTTTTTAACGTATTTTAATTTTTGGTAAAAATATATTAGATATAAATTTATGGAATTTTAGCGGGCAAATTTGCCTGCTAAACCTGATGGTTTAAGGGATAACATAAAAGCTCGCTGTATTAATAAAATTAACTTTTTATAATACTATATATTTAATAATTATTTTCTTTTCTTTCAAGTCAACCCGAAATCGAATCTAAAATTCGATTCGGTTTGGTTTCGGTTTACTATCAAACCCGAACCGTGCGTAATACTAATTAGACCAGGTAGCTAGATTGATAACATTCTTGCGGGTACATACTTGGTTATCGCATATAAAGAACTTGTGTCTTTGTTTGATTAAGATAGCTTGAATTTTTTGCTACTTTAAATTAATCAGATATAATTTTATCCTAGACAATAGGACTTTAAACTGATATAAAGGTTTAAGTCCTATTTATTTCTTAAATCTTTGTGAAGACAATTAAGGTTATATTAAATATAAAAACTTACAAAAATATCAACAGAACTTAATTCCTAATTTATTTTTTACGACTGAAAATTGAACTTGTTAAGATAATTAAAATATTATTTAAGCAGGTATTTCTATTAAGCTAATCGAAAAACTAGATATTTATTTATTTCTAGATAAGCGAATTTCAAAAGTTAACATTGACGAAAAATACCATTCATAATAAAATAAATAAAATTCGATATCGAATCTTGTATCACTGTACATGTATAGCACATGTACACTTTTTGCCTCGTGATTTCATGAGCATGCACTGAATTTCTATGTACATGTACATACCGATACGTACTTAATTTTATTGGTGAAACATGTAGCAATAGAACAATGGTTTTATGTACGTATTACCTTTGTAAAATGTCATCGTTAACAGCCTCATCATCTTCATGTAACAAAAACGAATGGCTTGAGCTAGCGATTATTAAAAAACAAATAAAGTTTTACGACTTTGAAAAGTTTACCAATAAAGAAGTAGTTGGCACCGGAGCATTTGGCGAAGTATCAAGAGCAAATGTGATGAATAGTAATTTGATGGTCGCGCTAAAAAGATTCTGGATAGCAAACGAAAAATCTAAGAAAAAAATAAACAAGAAATTCATTAAAGAGGTAACAGTATTTAACAGACAAAAATCAAAATACTATGATCAACAAATATTGATGCTGTTGATAAATATTTTTCATAGTTATAATTAAACTTAACATCATGAAAATGTTATTCAACTATATGGAATTACAAAAGGTAAAAATCAAAGAAACTGTGTTTTAGATTTTGAGCGAGAACATATAAAGTTTGTGAAATACATGTTTTGGAATATGCTAACGGTGGCGATCTAATTGATTTCTTTGCAAACAATCGAAAAATTACCGGAGACAAAAAATTGAGATTAGCATTACAACTAGCTGAAGGATTAAAATTTATACATGACTCCGGAATAATTCATAGAGACCTGGTAATAAACTTTTGACTTCTATTTAAAAACTAGCGTTTTTTAGATAAGTAATTTTGATGTTACATGCAATTTACCAATTACTAGAACCATAACAATGTACTAGTGCACCAAGAGAAAATAAAAATTTCGGATTTGGGATATTCAAAACTTTCAAATGATTGTTTTAATTCGAGAACATATTTAGGAGTTATAAGCTACGTTGATCCTGCGTTTTTACTAGATATTGATAATTATCGCCGAGACGAAAAATCAGATATCTTCAGTCTTGGAATTCTTTTTTGGGTCATATCTAGCGGACGTATTCCATCCAACCAATTCGGGTATGCATACTCTAATCCGACAGATGAAAAAGAAATTACAATTTTTGGGACGCCTAGTAAATACGTTAAGTTATATAAAAAATGTTGGGATAATATACCAGATAATCGACCTGATATTCATGAAGTGAATAATATACTTCAAGAAATTGAGTGGCTATCGTTGGAAAAAGAAGACAATTCATCAGAATTATCAGTAGACTTATCAGATAAGAATACCATCCGTACTTTCCAAAGTAGTTTGATAGAGTATGAAGAAAATGTAGTAGACATGCTATTGCAACTACAATTAAATCCTGAAATGTCAACTACTGGGAAAACTTTAGAATTAATAATTAATGAACTATCTAACATTTTATATAATATGATCAATTCCGGTGAAACTCTAGATAAACTAGCCCAGCAGTTGCGTGCACACATTAATACACATAATTGCGATAATATACAATTGAACTTTCTTTTGCACAATCTTCAAGATACAAATAACTGGAGTAATTTATTGGGAATTTTTTATCAATATGGAATAAGTGTTGATAAAAACAGTAAATTAGCATTTCAAAAATACCAAAAATTAGCAACTCAAACTGATGTATTATCACAATATTTACTTGCAAATTGTTTCCTATATGGAATCGGAACACAAAAAGATGAGAAAAAAGCATTTAAGTGGCATTTGAAATCAGCTAAGGGTGGAAATGCTTTAGGACAATATAATCTTGGTTTTTGTTATCAAAGTGGAATCGGAACAAAAAAAGATAATAAAAAAGCGTTCAAATGGTATTTGAAATCAGCAGAGGGTGGAAATGCTTTAGGACAAAGTTATCTTGGCGTTTGTTATCGACATGGAACCGGAACAAAAAAAGATGAGAAGAAAGCATTTGAGTGGTATTTGAAATCAGCAGAGGGTGGGAATACTTCAGGACAAAATAATCTTGGTTTTTGTTATTGAAATGGAATCGGAACACTAAAAGATGAGAAGAAAGCATTTGAGTGGTATTTGAAATCAGGAGAGGGTGGGAATGCTTTAGGACAAAATAATCTTGGCTTTTGTTATTTTAATGGAATCGGAACACAAAAAGATGAGAAAAAAACATTTGAGTGGTATTTGAAATCAGCAGAGGGTGGGAATACTTCAGGACAATATAATCTTGGTACTTGTTATCAAGATGGAATCGGAATACAAAAAGATGAGAAAAAAGCGTTCAAATGGTATTTGAAATCAGCAGAGGAGGGGAATACTTCAGGACAAAATAATCTTGGTTTTTGTTATCAAGATGGAATCGGAACACAAAAAGATGAAAAAAAAGCATTTGAGTGGTATTTGAAATCAGCAGAGGGTGGGAATGCTTTAGGACAAAATAATCTTGGTTTTTGTTATTATAATGGAATCGGAACACAAAAAGATGAGAAAAAAGCATTTGAGTAATATTTTACATCAGCAATGGGTAGGAATACTTCAAGGCAATATAATCTTGGTACTTGTTATCAAGATGGAATCGGAACACAAAAAGATGAGAAAAAAGTATTTGAGTGGTACATGTATTAGTCTTGATTTCCCAAACAAGAATATTATCGTTATGACAAATTCTATAACACTGCAATCACATTCGTTACATGATACCATATTAGTCAATATTTCCCGAATTAAGAATATTATAACGAATTCCAATATCGATATACTTGCACTTTTCGTAAATATTCATGAAAAGACATGTTTGTTCTGATTTTCTGCCAAATAATTAACATCGTATGGCTAAATCCATATAATTAATATAAATACAGAATTAATGTTATCAAGTAACAACTAAAAAAAAAGATACCTACTATTTACCTCTAAGGGCATGCATGCCATACACAGAATGCTTACAGCTAAACACGAAAAACTATTAATATTTACATAATAAATAAAAAGCAGCAATGAATACACGTCGCCTCTACTAAAGATCGACGCGCACGCACACAATTCACGCGTACAATTTCGGATCACGTCCTCGCTTAATAAAGCCAGACTGTTTCTCTCGATAATCATCCACAGCTTCTTGCTTTACATTCAATGCTGATGATGAATTGGTATTCGTTGTTGGCTCAAATTGTCCTACTGTTGATGCTGGCTGTTTACCAGCGGAAAATGCTGAAGTGCCTGGTTTCACTCCGTTTTCAAAAATTATGTATATAAGATTACCATGACTAAAAAGATACGATACGAGTTCGTGAGACTAAAAAAAACTTGACAAATCATATGACATACTTTATTCCCAACTGAGCGATGATCTGTCCGGAAAGCTATTTCGCTTGTATATCATTTTGCAGTTCTTTTGATATTTTAAGTGTGGACGGATCAAATTGCAATCTTGACGGAAAAATCATTTGTTTAGTTTTAAAAAAATAAAGTTCATATACATAGATTCACGACTTAAAGCAAAGATTCTCACTTTTTCTGCCATAATATCGTCATTTGGATCAACCCCAAATCGAATAGTAGTATTTTTATTTAAATCAGATTACTGGGTATCAAAAATTAGATTGTTGAATATTGAGATATGTGTTATGAAATAACTGATTATATTTGTGACGTGAAAGTTTATAAGCATACAATATCTGATATAGAAGTTCTACCAACATATAAAAAGTATCAATAATCAGCATTTGTAATGTTCTTTGTGCTCAGAAAAATTTGGTGTATTACACATGATCTATAAAAAGTTAAGGAGAGTCGGATACTTGGCTATGACTGTATTTCTCTATTAATTCTATATATTTCTTAATTACATATAATATAGAAAAATAATTATTATTAATATATAATTTCTATAATATAATAGCAAATAATAAAAAAACTTAATCAAAATTATTGATAACAAGTATCTGGTCTTACTTTTAATAAGATCTTTTGAATATGATTGATTAAGCAACTCCTAATTATTATTATTATATCATTTAGCAATCAAATTCAAATGAATAGACAAATAAAATAATACTTAATCTTAAATTCTCTTTTATGTTTTCATTCTTTTTCACTATCCTGATTTTGATTTTGATATTTAAATTACTTTTTTTAACACATCTTTAGAATTTTTATAGTGTTTGATAAATAAAAAATCACTTGAATAATAGCATTTATTCTGTTATATATGAGAAGATAATTTGAGAAGGTTTGTATAAATTTATAACATAATTTGATATAAGAGTTCAAATGCAAATTTTTTATATTGATAAGATTAATATTGTGATTATTCATTGTTAAAGAATAATATATTATTATTAATTACTATTGTTATGGTGCATAAAATCTAAAGTTATCAAATATTTGTATTTTATAAAATGTATAAATTTCTTTACTAAAAAGTAAATACAAAATTTAATTTGTGAATATGCCTAGAAAAGATCTATTCTATCATATTCATAGATTAAATTTTGTATTTACTTCTTAATAAAGAAGTTTATACAATTTATAAAATACAAATATTTGATGACTTTAGATTTTTATGTACTATATATTATAATATTTGACTTGGTAATGATAGTAGTATTATATTGATTAAATAACTATTAACCAATATATCAAATATATTATTCTTTCTAAATAATAATGATGATGGTGATGGAATAATGGCAATGATGATGGGTGATGTGTATGTAGTAGTAGAATGTGGATTAAAACAGCAACAGCAATCAGTAATAGCGGTGGTGGAAAATATATTGCTAGTAAAACATTTTTTTAAAATAAGACAAACAATAATAACTTATTGAATAGATCTTTTCTAAGCATATTTACAGATTAAATTTTGTATTTACTTCTTAGTAAAGAAGTTTATACATTTTATAAAGAGTAAAAGAATA